CAAACCTACTAGGAAAAAAAAGGTGATTGTCTATTTCAGTAAATGTCTGATTACACTTAAAACAGTGTGTATGTATTATTTTGACCCCTCATGCACTGTGAGGAACAGAGGTTTGAAAGTAGCATTTCAATTTTTTATAGAAACAGTATTCAGCAGGGATATTGCAATGTGAAGATTAGGTCTCACCTCCTTGTAAGAAATACATTTGAGACCAAAATTAAGTGAGTTGCCAGGGCCACCCACTCAGTTAGTGGTGAAGCCAGGTTTAGAACTCAGTTCCCATATATATTTTTTCCCCAATGAACTTAGTTAACCCAGTAGTGAGAACGAGGAGAAAAAATAATTCGAAACCATGTGAAACTATCTGTAATTACTGCGCCGCAGGAGAAATTCCATTTAATGTCTGCTTTGTCATTCCTGAATCTCAAGATGTTTTTTCTCCTTCATTTTCCATTGTGCAAACAGACATTTTGTACTCCTACTGGAAACCAGACATCTTATCCAAATCATGCAACATTTTAATAGAAAATTAAAATAGACAAAAGAATGCTGTTGGTAACAAATCAATGGATCTTACAGAGGACAGTTGCCAAACAAGAATAGCAAAAAGGAGGAAGCTTGTGGGAGCAGCTGTAACCAACAACGTTAGATCCTAAATCCTGTGAAAGTCCCATGTAATTTGACAGGGAATTATGGCCCAAATCAGTGTCATCTTAGTGCATATACGGTTCTGCATAATGGTGCAGTTGTGTGATGGGGCATTTCTAAGCTAATGATGAGAACCAGGAGCCCCGCTCCTTACTCAGGGCCTCACCCAAAATCTGTAGGAGTGGATGGAAATCGGTGTTAACGTGGTTAAATTGGGTCCCTCTAGAAAGCACATGCCTCATAAGTATAGTGTAGTTTAGTCAATGTCTTGGCACCTTTGCATAGCTGTCCACTCTTCATTTCCTCTCTTTTTCTTGTCTTTCCCCTCCCAACTTTTTCCCTTTTCTCCTCTCTCAGTACTTAACCTTCAGGTTTCTGTTTAGTAAACCTACCAAAGTAGAATCAATAGCCTGGTGCTTAATCACACTTTTTGCTGCTCAAAATGTCAGGTTTGGGTTTGTTTGGAGAAGGGCTTCCGCATGTCTTTCATTTTTTAGCTCTGTGCAGGATGTTCTGTACCGGTCAAATCCATTAAGAATGAAAGCTTTTGCTGTGGCTGATTGTTCTAATCTCTGTTGTTGTATATATGGTATAAATACAAAATTTCAGCTGTTGGTTCAGAATATCAAGAGAAAAGATCTGTCCCGGTACTTTTAAATTTTTTCATCCTTTCTTCCTACATGAAATCAGTAAGGAACAGTTTTCTAATCTGCTGAGGTAGCTAGGGCATAGTCTAACTACCTGTAAGTAGATGTGAAAGGAGTGAGTTTAAGCATTCTCTTACCGCAGAGAAAATGGTAAATAAAACACAGAATGGTAACGGGCAGTTGTGAGTACTATGTAGAAATGAAATCCTTGCTGCTTTTTTGGTAAAATAGACAAAGCAAGAGACCGTAGCTCAGTGCGTCAGCTCCAGCTAAGAGCCTGTCAAGGAACTATTTCTTCTCTCGAGTAGTAAAATTCATATGTTTTAGAAACTTGTTTGTGTAACAGGTTTGAAGAGGGGAGGAAACCAGAACAGCATGTGGAGAGTCGAGTGCATATATTCCTGTGCAAAGGAGTACATGAAGGTGGCTCCTGACTGATCTCTTGATCCTTGGACAAAACTGAGGAGAAAGTCTAACAAATGCATCGTTTTGCAGTAAATTAGATCAGATTTCCGCATCTCCGCACTCAGTCTGTGAGCTGACAGTTCAGTAAAATGTTCCCTTGTAAGGTTCGCCCTCTTAGGAAAAGGGGCAATAATTCATCATTAGAATTTCAGAGTCCAGGTGTAGATGAAAACTGATGGAGCCTCCAGCGAGGCAGGGAAAGTGCACAGAAGAAGAAAATTTTATCTGAAGCCTAATTCCCTGGTTACAGCAGAGAATAATTAAGATAATATTGCTTCAAGAGTTCTTTAATGATTAAAAATCACATATGCAGAATCCATAAATTGGAGGGCAACAAATTGGAAGGATACAGCGTCGGAGATCTGTTTTGTGCACGTTGTAGTGGGAAGCACACCGGTGGCACAACAGCAGCCTGGGCAGCCACAGGAGACCAGGCCCATTCCAAGGACTTTGTTTAGATGCAACAAATCATTTGTCTGTTATTAACCCAGAGCTTGTAATTATGCAGATTGCCATAGATTTTCCTGGGCATGGAAGTGAGATTGAGGGTTGTTCACACTATAGCAGGCAGCTCAGGGCTGGCCATGCATTACTGAACTTGCCACATTTATCATGTTGACTGATGGCAGCAGAAGCAGGTCTCAGGTCCCAGTGGTTAATGTAGTGGGTAATTAACTGTCATTTGCCTAGTAATAGGCTGATGATCAATGGTTTGTGTGGAAACAAATTCTAATCAGGTAGCTGATAAATGCTCAGGGAGCGAGAGCAATTGAAATTGGGGGAAACTATGTCCAGAATTTCAAAATGGCATTGTGGGGTTTTTATTATTATTATTGATGGGAGAAAACTATGTTCTTCATATAAACAGCTTTATCCAAAATTAACAATAGCTAATATAAATCTCACATGTTTGTTTTGTATGTGGTGGGGAAGAACTAACAGCGAGGAAGGCCTCCTTCCCTTTACGTAATTGAAAAATTTTAATATATCTGGTGCTTAGCTGAAGCAGCTTCTGTGGGGGTCTCTTATTTCAGGACTGTGGAAACCTGCACATAGTGGACTCTGGTGCAGTAAATCTCCATCCCTCGCAGGGCTGAATGACAATCCCAAATTGTTTCACTGCTCTGCAACACGCAAACTGCGATTCTAGCTGTAATGGATTTCCACTTTCTCACGCACACAGACACACCCCTGCAAAGAGGACGTGGCCGAGGAAGGTGACACCTTAGGTGCCTGCCCCTCGCACCCTCTCCAGCAAGGGGCCTGAGCTGCGTCTCAAGTATTCAGTTGTTGCACCTAAACTACCTAAGCATTGAGGTGCTGTCTGATCCCTCCACACTGAGCTCGGAGGCAGTGGGACTGTTCTCATGTTTGTGTTCAAACGTTGCTGTTGTAGAGCCTTGAAGTCTGACTTTCCTTTTACTGTAACCATATGGAATAACAATACTCTGTACCTACAGTCTTTACTCAGTACCTTTTGCAGCCTGATCTGCTTTCCTCGTACATCTAAACTACCATCATCTTCCACACAGATGTGAAGAACAGAGCTGGGCCTTTGGTCGGTGGGTTTAGTCTTTTCTAATGCAAAGCCAGCCAACGACTGTGGAAGGCAACGAAGTCTTGTGTCCTTAGAGATGGGGAATGAAAGTCTGAGTGAGATTTAGATAACCTCAGCGAAACCCATGCATGGTGGAGATAGAACTGGAACAGAATGTTTTACAAAGGGGATATTTATAATTTGTTTAAATAATCTATAATTTTAGTAATCAGACTTAACAGAACTGGAGGTTGGCTTGAGTCATTCTAACAAGAGCTGATGATGGTGGCTCTGTCCCAGCACTTCTCCCAGTGATCACGGTAACCAGCGTCTCAGACAGGAGAAAAAGGGTCGCAACTTTAAAAAAAACCAGACATGTATTATGTACGCAGCACACCTTAAGTAGAAGCAGAAGGTAAAAGGATTTGGAAGTAAGTAGGCTTGTTGGTAACCCATGAAATTCAGTAAAATGGAGGGTTGTGATTAAAAAACTGCGTTCATTTTTATGTTACCAAACTGAATTTTCTACAGAGCACCTTTGAATTCATTAGTTTAGAACTGCTTTTAATTTGGTGTTTCCCTTGAGAGCCATTATATTTTTCTGCTGTCAGCCTGATGTTGAGGGAAAAAAGAAAACTGGCAGATGTGGCGTTTTCATCTAGTGTGCTTCATAGTTAAAAACAGCATTAACTGCTATGCACAAGCAGAGCATTACTTTTAATAATCCATCACAACTATTAGGTATTTAAAATAAACTTAGTTTCAAAGATTGCTGCCATGTAGAGCTAACGTATTTTTTCTTGTTCATTATAATCCTTCTATGTTACAAAAGGATGCATATGTGTGGGTTGTTTTTTTTTTTTGGTAATACACCCACTTGAAAAGTATTGAAAAATCTTGAACAAAGAGAATTTTAAAAAAAATTTATATAGATGTCTGGCAAAAACAGCATTTCATATTGTTCTTACAGTATTTTATACTTCTACTCCTGATGTGACTATATATAGTTTACAGCCTCATTTACTTTAATGTGCTACCTGAATAACATAATCATAGCAATAACTACGGTATAGGGTTGTAAGGTGCATGAACCGCTAATGCTTTCTGACGATTTAAATGACTCGTTCATAAAATGTTCTTTTAATAATAGTGGTAAAGCTTTTAGCACTAGATGTCAAAAAAGCGAAGAACATTGGCTTTTTCAAGTGTTATTTCTTTTCTAGCTAAAGTGTGTTTTAATAATAAATAGCACCAAAAGCCAAGGTTATGTGGCTCTCGTCTGTACGGCAGGATCCAAGCAGAAGACTCTTCCCGCGTATGCAAACAGCTTGACCTCTGCCTGCGCAGTTATGTAACATCCCTAATGTGTTTACTATTCCTTTGTTTAGTTTAACAAGACGTTTCTTTTATCAAGAAAGGTCAGTATAACCTGCAGAAAAAAATAACTTCACAATAGGTGCAATATTAGTCTGTCACTGTTTCATAAAGCTCTCTCTGGCAAAAAGAACTATGCCTTTGTATTGTAAATTGGGCAGACTTGTACCGCCAAAGACCAGCCTTTCCAAAGGGAGGTGTGCTGGGAAATCAGTCAAAGGCCAGGCAACTGCTGGGGAAAAAAGAAAAAAAAAAAGATAAAAAAAAGGAAGTGTGGTTTTCTTTTCAGTTAAGCATCTTCAGGAATATCTTTCTTTTTGTATCTCCAGGTTATTTGGCGTTACAGGAAACTGTGCTGCCTGCAGTAAGCTCATACCTGCTTTTGAGATGGTGATGAGAGCAAAGGACAATGTTTATCACCTGGACTGTTTTGCATGTCAACTTTGTAATCAGAGGTAAGAGAATTTCTTGGGTCTGTTCCATAAGCTAAGTGCTAATTTGGCACCGGTGTGGGCACACATTCAAGTGAAGAGGAAACATCTATCAGTAGTGGAAACCCAAGACTGAGAGTAAGACCTGGATACTTTTCCTGGGACGGATACAGAACATCTTTCATGACCTTGGCCAGAAAACTTTTTGTACCTCAAATCCCACATCGGTAAACAAGAATAATGTTAATTCCTCTCCTTCAAAAAGGCTGTCTGTCAAGTGTAATTAATTAATATTTATAAAGGACTTTGAGATCCTTTTCTGCAGAAGAGCATGGCAGTACCATTTGTCATTATTACATTAATTTCACTTTAATTCTTCATTCTTATCACATGTATTTCTTTTAAAGTACATGTTGTTTCTTCCTGCTGCCAGAACATTTAAATTTAAAAGATGTTGTTCCCACCATTTTCTCTGTAGCAGCATTGGACTTCTTATGCCATATTTTTATTTCCATATCCTAAATGTAGGTTATAAAAATCCCAAGGAGCCAAACCTGACACTTTGTTCTGAAGCATCACCCATATGGTACAGTTGCAGAACGAATGTCAAAAATGGTAAAATTTTAACAACTGAATTTTTCAGAGGCGAATACAGCCGAACTTATAGCAACTACATTCAGAGCAGTGGCCAAATCCTGTCAGAGATTTCACCAAGAGCTCTATTTCTGACTCCACGAGAGCTGCTAGCAACTTTGCCTGTGACTTCTATGAGGTCTAGGAAATGAGAAAACCAATTATGTCCGCTCCTTAATTTACCTATTATGTTTTTTCAGTTATTACATGATCCTATTTAGAGTTTTATAGCGTTCATATTTTTTTTCATTTTCAGGTGGGAAGAAACACATGAGATGTACACTTCTAGGGAAGTAACAAAAAATTAGGAAGCTAATAGTCTAACACGCTAAAGTTAGATACAGCTCTAAATAAGCTTTGCTAACTCACCTTGTCCTACAGTGTATTATTTTGTAACGCTGTAGTCATTTAAAAATCAAACCTCCCTAAAGAACCATAAAATGTACAGCTGCTAATAAGTGTAGCACACTACAATTACGCTCTTTAAAAAAAGCCAAATTGACCTTTTTCATCATGTTGCATGGGAAATTAAAATACCAGGCAAGTAATAACCACTGCTTAAACTATATAATAATGCAAGGTAATTATAGGTTCTAATGCTATTTAAAGTCCTATATCAATTTTGTCTTGCCACAGAACTAAGAGGGTGTATTCTGAGTAAGGCAGGCAGAGCTTCCACCAGCACCCACTTAAGTAGGACACACGCACGCTCCTAGGTTTCATTTCTTAAACCCTTCACATCCCTGTTTTTTTCAAACCAGGATTCTAGTATCATTATTAAAGTGCCTAATATATTTCTGTTGTTCGCTTCATTTATTACATGCCATAATGGGGCTGCATATCTTTAGTGTTGGTTATGCACAATTAGCACTTAGTTATTGTCTTGTCACTTCAGCCCATACAAGACAAACTTCTTTAATGTAAGAAGTCAGCTAATCTTCATCAGTCAAGCAAAGCAGACAATGTTTGTTACCCTGAGTGCAAAAGATTTTCATCATAGTTAGCACTCTTGGATCTGAGGAAGCGAACTTTCTTTTTCTCCTCCCCCAAAAGCGAAGATGTTGTGATTATTTTTAATATCCCTCTTTTACCATTACAAGCGTGAACTAATGTACAATTTCACTTTGGGGCTAATATACATCATACTATGCCCTAGGGCCACTGATCCCCCTGGAAAAGTGCTGTTAGGTGCTTCTGAAACAGAGCTTTCCAGGGATATTTAATAATTCTTAGCTTTGTCATTCCTGAGCCTTCAATCTAGTCTCTTATTTGATTTCTACTTTGCATGTAGTTTGGGCAAAGGGTTGCTGAAATAGTCTTACAGGAGTCTTAGGCTGGGAACAAAAGAATTGATTTACCTGAAATCCAGTCTAGTCAAAACAGGGAGCAGTTCCAGAAGTTTCAAAGAATTTCAGAAATTCTCAAAAGTGGCCCTAATCCTGATTATATTGCAATAGCTCTCATGGAGCCTAATAAAACAGACTGCCTGTAGGGTACCTTTCTTCCTCACAATTTGGGGCTAGTGGCACTCTGAAGAATTAATTTTGTTGTTTTTTATAATAAATCCTATTTCATGGATGCTCCAACTTAGCTCTTCTGTGGTTCCTATGACAAAGCATCCCACTAACTACATTCTCTCATTAATAAATAGCTTTAAATCTTTTGTTTTTCATTACTTGTATAACAATAAAAGGTAGAAATGCTAGACGCCTGACCCATCACCAATTTTGGAGGATTTTTTTATATCTGCTGTGAAACCTCTTTTTCTTTTATTTTAAACTGAATAATCTTGTCAGTCACCATGCCGTTAATAATTTCCGTTGCCCTTCTCAGGATCCTTTTTTCTTCCTCTAGTTAAGCTAATCAAAGCCAAACAGCAGATTCTGAGTGAGGATGAGTTTGTAAGATAGCAGTTTAATTTTCTTTCTTTATTCCATGCTGCCCCTTTGTATGCAAAATAATGTTCTTGAGATTTTTTAGATCTGCTCTTCCCTTTCACTCCAGCCACTATCCCTAATGTTGTATTTATATATTGAAGACAATATTTTTATTTACAAATGCATCAGAGATATCCAAAAATCACCAGCGGAGGTAGCAAGGCTCACCAGCTATTGCAAGACATGTATGTTTGACCTTGTTCCCCACCTTCACATTCTCTTCCCCCATTAAATTTTAAATCCTTTGGGTCATTCTTTATACTGATACAAGTACAACATAACTGGACTACTACCAGAGAGTATATAATGCTCTCTGTTCAGTCCCATATTTCAGATTTTCAGTTATCATCTACTATTTAGGCTTTTTCCTAACAGAATCTGTGCAATGTTCATGAGTAGACTAAAATGTTTCTTCAGTTTGCATTACTTTGTCTTTGCCAACACGGAATTTCTTCTGACGTTTTGTGACTGGTTGCGCCTTCCAGTGCCATCTGCCTTCCAAGCTAGCTAATAAGTATATTAACTCGCATCACACCGATCTTTGGGGCAGCCTGTTCTTCGGGCTTGCTATTGCATGGCCCTCATATTCCTGCCCTTTAAATAGTTGATCCTGGCCCAGGTGAGAGGGGCCTGCCCATTTTTGCCTAGTGCTTTTTGTGAAAGATTCAGCGATTTTTCTGCTTTTATGTACAACTTCACTGTTTGCTTTATTATTCTTGAGTATCTATAACTCACCATCCAGCTCAAGCCTCAGTGTGGATGGTAGTTAGACCCCCTTGATTTCAGGGGACTTTTGTTCGGGCCATAAACTCCATCTCTGAACTAACTCATAATGTGCCTGTCCCCTTTTATTGGCCTCCTGAAAGCTAGATTTTCAGAGTCAGAAGAAAAACACAGTCTCACATACTGTATTCTAGGAAGACAGACTGTAGACAGGACTGTAGACATCGACAGGACTGAAAGAGATCTTGTGACCCAGTGAGCCCAGTCCCCTGGTGTCAAATAGGCACTGTCTTGTATTTTCCCTTTCATAAAGCTATTCAGCTCTAGAATCTAATTGCTCCAGCCAGCCAGTTTTTGACATATTTTCCCCATTTTTTCTTGATACTGATGCTTAAAGCTGTAGGGATTTTGTGAATATTAAGCTCTGCTTCTAGCCTAAAGGTTTTAGCATCCCCTTATCTTTCATGTCTCTGTCCAGCTTACTCCTAATTTGAAGTTTTTCCATCTCCTAAATACCCGCAGAGCTTAATGGTGTGAGTGCTCCCCTTTCTTCTCTGTAAACATACTAAACTTCTCCTCAGAAGCACTTCACCTCACATTGGCAGTAGCCCCAATATAGTTGATTTCTGCAGAAAATGTAAAGGGAAAAAAATGGAAACCACTGGAAAAATAAATTTGTAAACAGACACTGCCCTTCACATTTTGTCAGGGTGCATGTGTGAGACTAGCAGAACAGAGTGGAAAATCTTGCGAGTGGGCTCAGCTGTATCTTTGCTTGACACTTTTGAGTACAGCGGTGATCTCAGTCTGCCTTCGGCTTTCCCACTTTCTGGAGTTTCAGTGTCCTTCCTTTCACTCTCTGTCCGCTGCTTTAGCAGCTGGTTCCATACTTATGTGATATTTTCTCTCTGCCGTCTGAAGTCAGCTTGGGGTATGGTTTAAAACCCCCATCTGCTATCACTGAGGGGTGTTTAAATCCGCTGTACTGTCCTTCTATCTGAAACAGCCTTTATTTTAATGGGAACTGAACTGAAAACGGTTACATACTCATTCAATCGCTGTCCTGATGTAGCTGTAAACACTTACCTTCAGTATAAACTGTAAAATGCCCACACAATGCTGCCTTTGTTCTCTGTCAAGTGGGGGGGAGGGAATGCAATGCCAGGGACATCCTTATTTCAAACATCAACATTAGATTTTTGCATGAGTGGTCATTTTATAAATTCTGAAGACCTGAATACTGCTTATTTTCATTGAGTGTCTCTAAATTTAGAATAAAAATTAATACATTTTCCATAGCTGCTTTTAAAAAAATGGTAAATGAAAAGCACACCAAGTTAAGGTTTGTCATTGTAAGTTGAACTAGGATTCTGTGTGTACATATGCTACATCATACTGGTAATACTGTACAAATCCAGGCACAGCTCCCACTTTCCAGCCTTTGATAATAAATGGACATTTTGACAGGACCCTAGAATTAGTAAACCATAGGTGTGGACTGATGAACTGTGATGTAAAAAAGTGGCTTTGTTCTCTTAGTGATGCATATAGATCAACATTAATTTGAGTTATACTGGAAACTCAAAGGAGCTTTAAAAAAAAGAGGAAAGGACGAAGTTACATCACTGAGTGCACAAAGCAGAGTAGAAGGGTGTGGGTGGGGCAAGTCTGAGCTTTCTTTATCCTAAAGGAAATCAATTAAATGCTTCCAGATTTTGTTTCTTTCTACAACAACGAAGATCTGACGTTACCAGAGGAGGCACTTCACACACAGCCATCTTTGTTCACAGCAATATTTCTCTCGCTTTCTTAAGAAGTCTTTGGTACCTTGACGCACGTCCTGCACATCAGAAAAGATGACAGACAGCAGTGAGATCTCCTTAAATATCTGTTCTGAACAATGAAATAGCTATTTCTCAAAATGGAAGTTTTATACTTCTTGTGATTAGTCTAGGCACACCTTCCCCTTCCAAACAAGGTGATAACAGAGGTCATTTTGTAATATAAATAGCCTTCCTTTTGCCATTGTAAAATATGACAGGAGTTCCAGGATGTAGGTTAATTATAATGGTCATTCTACTAATGTCACAGTCGTGTCAAAAGTAGTATTATCAATTTATGGTGGTAAGTCCAATCTGGCATGTTAATGCAGCCTATTGTATATTTTTCCCTTTTCATCTCGCATGCCTATTAAATAAATTGGGTGAGGGTTTTAGGGAAGGCTGAAGACTACCATCTGCCTGCTAGAAGAGTAATAGTCTTGCCTCATTATATACTCCTAACCCAGTGGCATCTCAATATGCTCCTTGACTCCATTTGATATACATGCCCAAATTGTGCCCTGATTTACATCCTATGCCAATTCCATGAAAAAAACCACTTGCTGGAGGTGGAAGGCTAGGCTTGAATTTAGCCTTCCATTTTAAAGCTGGGGCAGGTTTAAATCCTAGAGTGTGCAAAACCAATCTGAAGTAGTTGCAAGATTTAGCTCTGACTTCAGAAGAGGCTAAATCTGCTTTTGAGAGTCAAATAAGGTTGAAAGTGTGGATGGACAGAATTTGTCATATTTCAGCCATCTAATTGCCTGGTCTCATTGTACTTAGGAGCTAGTATGCCACCTTTAAATGTTTTTCACCTAGTGCTTACCTCTTGTCACCTAATGAGTGCTTAATTCACACATTTAATACGCAGGGGCACATGCAAGCCTCACTGTCAGTCTTTGCCAATGTGTTTCGGTCGCTGAACTTGCACAATACAAAAACAGTTGCAGAATTTGGACCATCAGTATCACAAGTAACAGGTTTCCCCCAAGGCACAGAGGATCAGCCCCAGATGAACCCAGAGGGTGTCTTACCATGCAGACAGACCCCCACCCCACAGGTTATCACACAGCCAAGCGTGTCTAGACAGGCCACTGGCAGCCTCTCTGCAAGACAGCTGTACGCTTGGAAGGTAAATGATTTGTGGAACTGTGTATGTTTAAAGCCACTCATGCATAAAGCTGTCAAATGCCATGTAGACATAGGTAGAGCATTTCTGGCTCGACATATTAACATAGCAAAAGCAAAAGGCATTGACACTTTTTATTGGGAAAGGCATCCTGACTCCCTCATGTAGCTGGTGTAGTTTAATTCAAACCATGGCACTTCTCTGAGGGCTGAGAAACAAAATCCTTCAGCCAGGATTTTGATGCAAGCAATATTGCAAGAAATCATATGTGAAAGTATTGCCATGCATGTGAATTGCACTTCAGCAGTGTATTTTTCATTTACTAAATATTTTAAACAAATTAGTCTGCTAAGTTCTGTATTACGCTGGAACACAAAGGAATACGTAGCTGAATAACATTCACAGTTCAGAGTTAGTGCTTTCTGCTGGGTGAGCAGAGGTGGTTGTGTCTCCCACTGGTGCCTGACCCGTGGGGAGAGCCGCCCTGCTGCGCAATAACCCTCTGATGTGGTGGGCATTGCTGGCCGGACGTCTCCCGCTCAGTCCCCATCAGTAATCCTTGGGCTAACAGTAATGGAGTGACTGATTGTCACAATACCTAACTTCCCCTGCTTTAATCCACATTAATCTGTATGTTCCTTTAAGAGAAACTAAGAAGGACTTTTTTTTTTTTTTCTTTTTTTAAATGTGACTTCTTTGGGAAAAATACTTTTACATATATTTGCACTAGTTAAGACTCTTTTACCTAATCTGGTAAGATGCACAAAAGAATTTTTGTCAGCACTGTTGTCAATGGACAAAAATACAAAGGATGGAAACTGGAGAAATGGCCAAAGAGCTTTTTTGCTTCAAGAATTCTGCATTTCAACACACCTACTCAAAATACTTTTGTGTTGTGAGTAGCCTAATATACCAGGATTGGGGTGGGAAGGATATCAGGAACCTGTAAATTCTATAAAAGAGTCTTGACCATAAATAACTTAAAGATTTTGGGATCATTCCATAATCTCTATTTTCAATCATCATCAGCAGCAGGCAGTAATCCTACAGAAAAAAAAGTCCACAAATAAACAAACCAATTTTCCTTTAAGAGCAGAGCTAATTCTTTTCAATCCACTTTTTTATTACACTATTTTCCCTCTATCTATTTAGCTAGCATAAGGATAAATTTCCAAAGCTACCCAGTTGGAAAATAAAAGGGTTCACTCTTTGTCTAGCATTCCAATCTTCACAAATGTAAATCAGTCCAACTGCTACTCATTTAAACCTCCAACTTCACAAAACATTAAAGGACTGCTTTCAATACACAATTTTATCTGCGACAATTCATGAAGATTTCTGCTTGAACATCATTAGAAATTGACTATCTGATAAAGAGAGACCACTATCAGAGGTCAGGCGGGTCAACTTGTGTCATTTACGTAGTTTTACTGGGTCAACTACAGCAGGCACCACTATTTGAAGGTTAAATTGTTACAATTAAATACATATACAGCTATTCCCATAGCTACTCTGTTGTTAAATCTACCGTAAACAACACAAGCATTTATATCTGACCCTAATTGTGTTCAAGATGTCACCATTTAGAAATTATACAAAAAAGGACATTATAATCCGTTACACATTAAACAATACTTTATGTAGTGAGATCCATAATTAGCTGGTAGAAACTGGTTTCATTTATTCACATCAGTGTTAAGGGGTTCCTTTAGGTTACTTTCTTTCATTTTAATTGGAATAATGTGAGCAGTGCCTCCCAATATATTTTATAGCTGGAGAGTTCACTATAAACAAAGGCACGTAACCCTGCCAAGGCAGTCACTAGGGAAACTCTTTTTCTATGCTTTGGCCCTATTCACTTGCTCCCTAAGTATCTTCAAGAAGATTGGCTTTGTCGGGGGGAAGGGTTGAGGGGGGTGCCAGTGAAGAGCCTTCTTACATTCAAGCATACTGCTTAGCTGGGAAATCCTACTTTACTCGGAGTTTGAAGCCAGCCAGCCAGAAGCATTAACGTTACGTGATTTTCCTACTCATCAGAGAAAATCAAATGAAATATCTCAGTAGCGTTTCGTAGCAATCAGAATATTCTGATGCACATAATAGTATAACAAGGTAGGTATACTGAAACCACAAGAGCCGAGTAACTAAATTTATAATCAGCTCCTACAGGAAAAAAAAAAAAAAGTTTCTCTGCATACCTGCCTGTGTGTCTCTAGTTCACACCACAATATATGTAAAGTTGTGTGTATGCTAGAAAAGATTCTCAGAATCACCGGTTTAAATCAATTCTAGTAAAATATCCAACTGGAATATAACAAGAAATTCTTACCGGTACGCCTGCACCAGACAGTTTTAACGTATCTCAGATGAGCTTCCTACTGCATGCGATCACTTTGTTTTTCTTCTGATTTGCATGAAAGCAGGACATTTACTTTTCACTCAACTCAGTAGCCTGGGATATTTATTCTGTTTTATCTGTGTGCTAGTAACCTGATCCAAGACTCCCACAGTCTTTGGTGGGCTTTGAATGAAGTCTTTGGCTGGGGAAGCAAAAGCGCTTGAGTGCACTAGATTTTTGTGGAAAGCACAGGATTAATCCTGATACCAGAGCAATTCCTCTGCTGGGCTTTCACATACATGCACACGTGTCTGCGTGTGCTGTGACAGACAGCAGAGGTGCGAGCCGTGCGGTCGGTACAACAAAATCGTGAACACTTGTTGTACAACCCTTACGTGTAAGATAGTATCACATCATTCATCCTGCAACTACCTTTTTTTTTCCTTTATTATTGTAATTTCAGATTTTGCGTTGGAGACAAATTTTTCCTGAAGAACAACATGATTCTGTGCCAGACAGACTATGAGGAGGGTTTAATGAAAGAAGGTTATGCACCCCAGGTTCGCTGATCTGATGCCACATCGTTAAGAATACAAAGCACTACGTTCTTTTATCTTTTTTGCTCAACATGTATATAAGAAATGACACAGGAACCTACTGAATAGCATAGATATAGGGAGACAGAATGGTTGCGTGAAATAAAAGGCGGACTGCATCTGTATGTAGTGAAAATTGCTCCAGTTCAGAGTTGAATGTTAATTAAAAAGGTACTGTACATACAGCTGGATGCTTTTTGCTTGCTCTTGGGGTTTTTGGTTTGTTTGAGTTTTTTGTTTCTTTTTGTGTCATTTGGCATGAGATGTTTATTTTGGACTATTGTATATAATGTATTGTAATATTTGAAGCACAAATGTAATACAGTTTTATTGTGTTACCATTTGTGTTCCTGTTTGCTTCTTTGTATTGTTGCATTTAGTACAATCAGTGTCTAAACTTACTGTATATTTATGCTTTCTGTATCTGCCAGCTATTTTAAATGAGCTGTATCTTTCTAGTAAAAAGCATTAAAGAGCAAATCCCAACCATTATGCTATACTTAGAGCTTAAGAATACTGTTTACATTAAAACTATTTAGAAAACTAATAACTCTAGCAGCACCTGCTGCTAATGATGCTATGGTTAAGGGTCTATCAGCACTTCTGTTATAAGCCTCTATTTTTCAGGGGTTAAGCGTCTGCTGTTTAATTGCATAGATTTTCCTCAAAGAGCACTTTTATTTTACTACAAAATTTTGAAAAGCAAATCTGACCGGTTTGGGATATATTATAAAAAGTGCAAAACTTAATGATTTTGGGTGCTGCTTTTGTGCCCCTTAGGCATTCAAAATGCCTGGATTTGATTTTTAATTTAGCTGGAAATTAAGCCCTAATGCAAACCAGTGCCTCTGATCTTATTTTTTTTTATATATATAAAAAAATATATATAATTTATATACATTTTAAAAATTTCTTGAAATTTGAGGGGTCTCTCTCTCTCTCTCTCTTTCCTTTTTTTTTTTTATTTTTAATCAGGGCTTAACCCTAAAGTTTTCTGGGGCTGTGTCCTCAACCAACCCTGGAAAAAAGTGAAAGTAGAAGGCACTGTAAACAGCCCCCTCTGAGGGTCTATTTATATTAAGGAAATGACCCCGAGCTGACACTAGGAGAGTGACTGGTTACTAATTACCCACCTCAGTGAATGCTGAAGGTAATTTAAATGCTGATGTGGATGGGACAAAACTTTGAAATACCAATACAGAAAGTGAGAGCTACCACACTCGACTGCACAGATACTTTGCTGTCCATGCCAACATCCTACAGCTTTGTCCCATCAATACTGGCAATTAAAATCCTTTTGACAGAGGTGGAGTCACTGCTGACAGCTACTGTTGGCAATCAGTCCATTTTCTAGGAAAGGTGGACCTCTGTTTTTAAAGCCATGAAGCTATTGCATCAGCAGGATGTCCCTAAGTGCTCATGCCCCTGACAGAGCTTACAGGTGTTTGGCAAAGGAAAGCAGGATGAATGTTTAAGAAGTTGTTACATGCATATTTAATTCTTTTCTCTTTGCCACTGTAATCTAGCTCACCGGGAAAACAGCCTGCATTTAAAAAAACAACATTAAGAGGAAAAAAAAAAAAAGAAAAAGAAAAATAGAAAAAAAAAAAAGAAAGAAAAGAAACCCACTATGCCCTGTGTTGCTATGAAGCTGAGCTCTTGTTTTTATTTAGACTAAGAACCCTCACCTCTGCTCAAGTCGAGTGCTGTCCTTCCCTGCTCTTCCTGTCCTGTTGCGCAGTTTCAACATGTCTTTCCTGGGGATGGGGAAAGAAACTTTGTAATGCAGTGGGGTAATTCCTCTAGCGTATGGTTTGGAGTACGCTGCACAGTGGCTTTGGCTTAGAAATGAATATTTAGTTCTAATGACTATTGTTACAGTGTGGTTTTGTTTCTGGCTGTGAACCCTTTTAAAAATAAGCATGGCTCACAAAACTTGACTTTGACTCATACAGGACCAGTAAGAAATGCAACGACTCATCAGGCTGTTCTTGCTAATTAGAAGAAATAGCTCCACATAGTTTTTCAAATGAAATTTAGCCCTATTTTGTGGACTATCTTCCTTCCTAACCTTGAGCAAAAGTCTCTCTTCCACTCCCTTCCACAGCCCCTTAATGTCTTCGGGATAATGAAGCAGTTGATGTCAGAGGTACTATTAGGCTCTTCCAGATCTACTTCAAGTGCAATAAACAAGTTGTCCTTTCCATGAAGGTGAGGATGGCCAGAAAGGGAAGAATCATGTTGTCTTATTTTGATTCCAATTTCAATTTTCTCCTCCAGCCTCTGTTGTGTCTTTCAGTCAGAGGCCAGAAAGATCTCTCTTCTGCTTTCCACTAGTAGACTACAGACTGGATAGAAATCCCTGGTTCAAAAATAGGGCTGGGGAACAGGAAAGAAGGGACCTTGGTTCTGTCTTTGACTTGCTGTAAGCTTGGGCAAGTCACTCAACTTCTCTGTGCCTCAGTTGCCCCTGTCTGCCGAATGGGGCTAATGCATACACTGCTTTTGTAAAGCATTTTTGGCTCTTCAGAAAATCAAGAGCTATGCATGCAAACGTTACTAGTAGCGTTAGGACGTTCTGGGAGAAGCAGAGCATTCGTATGTGCAGTAGGTAACCACAGATCTGAGGTAGGAGAGCACCAAACCCAACTAAGCCTGTGGAAGGCTTTGTTGGGGATGAAGGCAACTACGCACTAATAGTGCTGTAGATGCTAAAGCGCTCTCTCATTACCACAACGTGCCACTGCGCAGCTCTCTATGGGGTAAATGAAGAGAGTGGAATGGGAAAATAGTGGCTTATTGTTACATGCCATGTTACTCATATGTGCATGTGTGTGTTTTGTGACATGTGCAAAATGGGGAAGAGGAGGGTGGTCTTGCTATGGAGAAAAAAATAGTCTCACCATTGTATCAATCTTAATTGATGTAAGGATAAAGAAATGTCGATATGCTTGTTTGAAGTGCTGCAGTGGTATGGCATTGCTTTGAGCACTTTAAGCTCATATATCTTATTCACATACATATCTACAATTTGTATGTAGAGGATGCAGTATAAACTTAGATTTGACGTAGGTCAAAGATCGATTACACATTTTCCTGTATTTCAAACTTCCATCTTGCCTGGCTGTTAAGATAATAACTGGGAGTTGAAATATTTAATGGAAACATTTACAACTCCAATAAAGTATAACATCATAAGACAATATTGAAGAGAGATTATCTGCCAGGCTGCTTTATTGATCTTTTTGACAGAGGCCTAGACCGTTCCTTTGGGTTGCTTTTAGTTATCTGCCTTAAGTTTCCTTCTCCATCACTGTGTGTGTCAACACGGTCTGTCTGCATACAGCAAAATGTTCTGATAGTGACCATTGCTCAGTGTATGCTCATTTGCCAGGCAGGAATGCTTCCACTTGTATCTCCTTTTTTTACGGTATTTTATCTCTATCTGTACAAATCTCTAAGTTTAGCCAGCAAAAAATAATAATAACACTGATTTAAAAAAATCTATTATTCTTGGGTTGCTGGTTTTTAAGCCACATGGAAAAGTACAAATTATCAAACCTTGATTTTCAACTGTAGAAAGCTCCTCTGCCAACCATAACCTGCTGTGTCTTTTATCTGCTACAACTGGTGATGAATCAAGACAGCCTGGATACTGCAGAAGCAGTGACCAGGGCTAAAAGTTGAGCTGTTTCATAATTGTATTTTTATCTTGCTTAACATATTTTCTGGGCTGTTTTTTTTAAGCACACCTTCTTGCCTCTTCCTACCCTCCCAAAACACTCAAATTTATGCTCATGTAATGTAAATAAGAAAAATCATCCAGCAACCCCTCAAATATTCCTAATTGCCTACATATAAAATGACTTGAGGAAAATAGATTGAAAAGTGGTCAGTGAGAAGGGAGACTGTGGGGGAAAAGAAACAAACAAACAGGGACTGTGGCAAGGTTTCGCCTGTACAGACAAAGTACTTTAAAGGCTTTTTTCAACGTAATATACAGCAGCTTCTTACAATTTTCTCAGCAGTAGGTAGTTTACAGTCATCTGTACCTAGAACAAATCTTGTCAAAAATGAAGGTCTGTAGTGATTGCTGGGTATAATTTTATACATTTAGCTGATTCTTCTGAAAGCTTCCACTGTGCTGCTGTTGTCAGACTAAATTATCAATTTAGCCATTTGTTGTTTAATGAATAAAAAACTCCTTTGGAATTGGAGATGTTGTGGTTTCAATAAAGCAAAAGCTTTAACAACTCAAACTACAGAGAGCAAAGTGTGTACTGTATATAAGAACAGTGTTTTTATTCTTTTAAATATCAGTTGTTTAATGAATAAAAAACTCCTTTGGAATTGGAGATGTTGTGGTTTCAATAAAGCAAAAGCTTTAACAACTCAAACTACAGAGAGCAAAGTGTGTACTGTATATAAGAACAGTGTTTTTATTCTGATAAATATCACTTTAGATAAAAAAAAAGCCAATTACATATTCACTTAATACATTTCTCCTGCTTCAGTCCAATGATGCAGACCAAACCTGTTTACTGTTCACTTCAGTACCTTGCAAAAGGAAACCAAAATACAATATGTGCAAGGTAATAGGCCATTAGCACAAACATGCTCCCAGTAAAAATCTTTTGTGTAGGCACCCTTTCTAGAAGCTGCCAATTGTGGGTGATAGAAGTATTATAAAGGAAGTGATTTTAATACTATTTAAGGCATTAAAAGCTGAAGAGTATCTGTTTAAAGCCTTAAAGTAAGGGTTGCATGTATCTAATACCTTTTAAAATGCCCTTCTGCTGATTTATATTCATCCTGAACCTGCTAATAATGAGTATACATAAGCAAATACCATCTTCCACCTATTCAGCATGTCATTGGTATGAAAGCCCCAGAAAATATCTCACGTAATCAGTGTGTTCAGAGAGTTATCTTGCACAAATTACTCATTAACTCAATAGCACATAATAAAAAAGAACATCAATTAATTAATGAGTCACCCTCAGATCACTTTGATTACAACACAGCTCTGTTGAAACAGCAGTTATAAATGGAGCTGCCTCTCTTTATTCATTGTTTGCAATTGGCCCATTATTTTGCAGAGACCAGTGTCATATTTAACACATGCCTGCAGGTAATTGTGTGATTAGTTTCATAAATGAAGATGCAGAGGGAGAACGCAGAGTATCTTGCTCTGCCGCCGAGTCTGAAGATGCAGGAATCCACTGTATCTCCTGCAACCTGCCATGCCGGCAGACCTCTGCAGCACCCACGAGGCCAGCCTGCCTCCGGACTGCAAGGTCTTAGTGACAGGACAACACTCAGAACTAGCCGTACTGACCTCTACTTTAACCTGAAGATCTCAAAGCCCTGGGCAAACACCTTTGACTTAGGCCTCCCAAGAGGTCACGTTGCTGGTATTTCACGGGGAAGAATACAGAGGCAGAGAGATTAAGCAGGCTGAGCAAGGTCA